AAGAAGGAGGAGAAGAAGGAGGAGAAGAAGGAGGAGAAGAAGGAGGAGAAGAAGGAGGAGAAGAAGGAGGAGAAGAAGGAGGAGAAGAAGGAGGAGAAGGAGGAGGAGAAGGAGGAGGAGAAGAAGGAGGAGAAGAAGGAGGAGAAGAAGGAGGAGAAGAAGGAGGAGAAGAAGAAGGAGGAGAAGAAGGAGGAGAAGAAGGAGGAGGAAGAGGAGAAGAAGGAGAAGAAGGAGGAGAAGAAGGAGGAGAAGAAGGAGGAGAAGAAGGAGAAGAAGGAGGAGAAGAAGGAGGAGAAGAAGGAGGAGAAGAAGGAGGAGGAGAAGGAGGAGGAGAAGAAGGAGGAGGAGAAGAGGAGGAGGAGAAGAAGGAGGAGGAGAAGAAGGAGGAAAGAAGGAGGAGAAGAAGGAGGAGAAGAAGGAGGAGAAGAAGGAGAAGAAGAAGGAGAAGAAGAAGGAGAAGAAGAAGGAGAAGAAGAAGAAGAAGAAGAATTGTTTGTTTGTTTGTTTGTGTAAACAAGTTTTGTAAACAATATATTGATAATTATGTTTGTGTGCTTATTGTGTTGTATACAACGAGTGTATATATATACATTGCACCTTACTTTGGTCTCATAGGCCACATAAGTTATGTGAAAAAATAAAATAGTGAAAAAAACAACAAACCTTCAAATACAAGTAAACTAAAGTTTACCGGGTGAGCGGCAGTCGCCGCTGTTGCCATACGCGGCTCATTTTCTGCAAACTTCACGGCTCTATATCTCGGTAAGTACCAATGGCAAAAATTTTTTTTTTGGACTAAAACACTCAGAAAAATAATCTTAACATTTTCATAAGAAAAAATAATTTTTTTTTTTTTTGAATATTTGGCGACATAGAATGACAGTTTCAGAGAGGGGCCTGAAACAGTCAAAGGGTTAACCTATACAGGAAGGTCCTGCTTAAATAGCAGGTTAGGTTCCGGGCTACCACTGTAAAGTGAAAATCACTGTAAAGTGAAATAATAGTCTTTTCTCACTTTCAAATGCATATAAAAGCCTGATATGTTTACACTATCATATAGTAAGTGAGCAACAGAGCTAGGCTTTAACAATGCATATACAGTACACACGTTACTTACCTTAAAATGTTTTCTTACTTAGCTTATAGTTAGTGGTGAATGTATTTATTGTAGCAAGTCTGAATAAATGAAGAATGGATATGACTGAAAACCGCTGCATTAGTAAAACATTGTAAAGCAAAATGCTGTAATGCAGGACCTGCCTGTATATGAAGAAATTTTAATGTTTATACTATGTAACCAAATTTCTGTCATTTCAATTATGATGTCTGTGTGCCTCTAGAGACAATTGCTTCAAAGTGAATAACATTGCATGTGTTACCTCCTTAGGATCTCGCTACCCTGCACGCAACCTGCTGTTAAAAACCAAACAAATTAACCCTTACGATAAACCTGTCATAGCTGTCTTACCTCTGACCATTTTTGAGGGTTCTTTTGCTTCTGCAGCCCAGTGAGATTTGTTGACTGCCTGGTCAACCAAGCTGTTGCTGCTAGTGGCCAAAGGCTTAAACAACCACACCTCGCTTATCTAGTGCATATTGGATGTAGTTGTCCAGTTTCCTCTCTGAAAATTTCTACCTTTGTCCCAGCATGTTTGCAAACAGCACCAGTGTGCCAAAATATTTGTAAATAGCACCAGTGTGCCAGGATGTTTGTAAACAGCACCAGTGTCCTAGCATGTTTGTAAATAGCACCAGTGTGCCAGTATGTTTGCAAACAGCACCAGTGTTCCAGCATGTTTGTAAATAGCACCAGTGTGCCAGTATGTTTGCAAACAGCACCAGTGTCCCAGTATGTTTGTAAATAGCACCAGTGTTTCCAGCATGTTTGTAAATCGAATGTGTGTTTTCAGCATGTTTGTAGATAGCACCAGTGTTTCTAGCATGTTTGTAAATAGCACCAGTGTTCCAGCATGTTTGTAAATAGCACCAGTGTGTAAAGCATGTTTGCAAATAGCACCAGTGTTTCCAGCATGTTTGTAGATAGCACCAGTGTTTCCAGCATGTTTGTAAATAGCACCAGTGTTTCCAGCATGTTTGTAAATAGCACCAGTGTGTCCAGCATGTTTGTAAATAGCACCAGTGTTTCCAGCATGTTTGTAGATAGCACCAGTGTTTCCAGCATGTTTGTAAATAGCACCAGTGTTTCCAGCATGTTTGTAAATAGCACCAGTGTTTCCAGCATGTTTGTAAATAGCACCAGTGTTTCCAGCATGTTTGAAAATAGCACCAGTGTTTCCAGCATGTTTGTAAATAGCACCAGTGTTTCCAGCATGTTTGAAAATAGCACCAGTGTTTCCAGCATGTTTGTAAATAGCAGCAGTATTCCAGTATGTTTATAAATAGCACCAGAATTCCAGCATATTTGTAAATAGCACCAGTATTCCAGCAAGTCTGTAAATAGCAGCAGTGTGCCAGTAAAAGCACATCTTCCTTAACTCACCTATCCTTGAGCTGAATAATGTAGCAAACCAGGCAGTAGGCAGCACAAGACTCCACAAACTTCCTCTGTGCTGTAAGAAATTCTTCAGAGTTCTTATCTCCAAACTCTTTGATGAAATATTCTAACATGGACATCTTGCTGTTTTTCTTGATTTGATGCAATGAGCAAGTATTGACGATGGGTTCAATCATGCCCGAGTCATCTGATAGCACCAAGATCCTGCAATGTAACAAATTGTTTATATATTACAATATATAGAGGCCTTTTTAATTAACTAAATATAAACAACGTTTTTTTTTTTTTCATAAAATTGGCCATATCCCACCGAGGCAGGGTGACGTAAAAATTAAATTTTTTCTTTTTAAGTTTGGTAATCTATACAGTAGAAGGGGTTACTAACCCCTTGTTCCCGGCATTTATAAACTACATGCAGTTTATGTCTCATATTTCTCATAATACCTCTTCTAACATATATAGTACGTAACAGAATTGTTGTATATGTAATATCTGTGTTCTTGACTAGCAGCACTTAAAAAAAAAATAAAAGCACTTAGATTAAAACTAGGCTACTTAAACCCTAAATTACTTATTCCATGGAAAAACAAGCTACAAGGTTAATCCATGGTAGTATATTCACTAGATCAAACAAAATTTAACCCTTTGACTGTTTTGGTAGTATACATATGTCTTACGAGCCAATGTGTTCGACATATACATACTCAAAAATTCTAGCAGCTTCAAATCAAGCAGGAGAAAGCTGGTAGGCCCACATGTGAGAGAATGGGTCTGTGTGTGTAGTATAAAAAAAATCCTGCAGCACTCAGTGCATAATGAGAAAAAAAAAAACTCCAACTGTGTTTTTGGATTAAAACACCGACTTTGATGTGTTTTTTCGTAGAGTATTTATGGTTGTATTCTTATTTTCTTGGTTTCATTTGATAGAATGGAAAACATATTATAGAAACAGAAGTGACTTTGATTGGTTTTACTATGAAAAGGATCTTGAAATGGAGCTCAAAGTGGCAGAAATGTTCGATTTTTGGCGATGTTCAAGGGTAAACAAATGACGTCATTGTCCAATAAATGTCCAACTAGCCATTCTAATATGCAGTCATGAATTGGTTGACATTATTTATACAATACAATATTGCAGTAGTCTGCATAACAGTAAATCTATGTTTTGTGTGAATAAAAATTCAAAATAGAAAGCAAGAGTATTATAACAGGGGCCTGAAGATGTGACTGATGAACAGAGAAAATGTTATTTTAGTGCCAGGAATGTTTGCATTGTTCTTTCTGGACCCTATTTTGAAATTGACATTTTTTAATTTGCATGAAATTGGCCAAATTGCCAATTTCTGACCACTTTATTGGGTAGTTGAAATCAGTAAATGGGCAGTTTCTTGTACTCAATTGATAGAACAAATGGAGTTCTAAAAAAATAGCTATGAGTTTGGTGGACTGGAACAATGGAAATGGCCGAAAACAGGGCTCAAAGTGGGTGAAATCGCTAATGAGTAAATGTCACCGAGGTCGCTAACTTCACGAGAGCGTAATTCCATGAGTTTTCCATCAAATTTCGTACTTTTGGTGTCATTATCATCAGGAAAAGATTCTCTATCATTTCATAAGAATTTTTTTTTTTTTTTCAAATATTTTGCAACACCAGGAGACACTTCAGGATTTGGAGTTGCAACAGTCAAAGGGTTAAAGTTAGCCCATGACAGTACATTCACTAGATTAATTCATTTGCATTGTGATGTAACTTCTATTCTTTGGATACTTACAACTCGCACCGATACTTAACCCTTTCAGGGTCCAAAAGCCAAATTTCAAAGTGCGCACCAGTGTCCAAGAATTTTCAAAAAATAATTTTGTTATTTTTTCTTATGAAATGGTAGAGAATCTTTTTCTGAAGGTAATAAAACAAAAAGTACGAAATTTTATGGAAAATTGACGAAATTATGCTCTCGCGAATTTTAATGTGACAGCGATATTTACGCATTGGCGATTTTGCCTACTTTGACTCCCAATTTAGGCCAATTACTTTATTCCAGTCGAAGAAATTCTTAGCTATTTCACTAGTATTTTTTCTATTCTATCAAATGAGCACAAGAAATCAGCAACTCAACTGTTTCAACTACAAAATAAAGTGATTGGAAATTGGTAATTTGACCAATTTAATGCAAAGTTCAAAATATTCCAATTTCAAACTAGGGTCCAGAATAAACAATGCAGGCATTCCTGGCACTAAACTAACATTTCCTCTTTTCATTATTTACATTTTCAGGCTTTACAAATGAATTCCATGTTCATTTTTAATTCACATAATGAATTTTTATTCAAACCAAAAAATGGAAGATTTATTGTCATGCAATATTGCAATAATTGTATAAATAACATCAGCACATTTGTAAACGTATATTAGACCCACCAGCTGGTGTGTATTAGATGTATGAGGTCATTTGTTTACTTTTGAACATCGACAAAAATTTAACATTTCTGCTACTTTGAGCTCAGTTTCAAGCCATTTTCAGTACTAAAACTAATCAAAATCATCTCTATTTCTGTAATATATCTTCCATTCTGCCAAATGAGACCAAGAAATCACAAATACAGCTATAAAAAACATATGAAAAAACACTGCAAAGTTGCTGTTTTAATCGAAAATTATGGTCTCAGTTTATTTCTCTCATTATGCACTGTGTGCTGCAGGATTTGTTTTATGTGGTGCACACATACCACATAGATGTATTCTATCATATCTAGGCCCAAATTTACCGCTCACAGCTTATCAGAGTGAGCTGAACTCATGGCGTAGATCTACGGTTTGGACCCTCAAAGGGTTAATTTTGCCCCCCCCCCCCAGCAAAATTTCTTAATATCAACCCCATGAACCCTGCATCAAAACCAAGAAAATGGGCATTTACAAGCACACTTCCTCTCAACTCAGAGCTGCTATTATTTAGTGTCACTTGTTTTATCAGTGCAATACACAGAACAATGGAGAGCTATATAGTAACCTGGAGGTCCATTGTAGTGTAGGCAGGGTGCACAAAATAGATAATTACATTATCTGACAGCAGTGAGCTCTAGGCCTAAAACCAAAGCTCTGGAGATAGTGAAGCCTCCCATGTTCTGCACAACTGTATATGACCTCAGATTCTAAACAATGGTGTTTATATGTGCTCTCTTCCTTAATACATTTGGCATCATTCCACTTCACCAAGTGGTCATAGCTACTTTTATGAATAACACAGCTATTATTAACACTAACGAAGGCTGGTATATTTATATAGGACAGCCCCGCTTATACAGCTGGTTAGGCTCTGGGCTACTGCTGTAAAGCGAAAATTGCTGTAAAGTGGATCATAGTCTTTTTTCACTTTCAAATGCATATAAAAGCCTGATAACATATTTACACTATCATATATTTAGTGAGCAATAGAGCTAGGTCTAAAAAATGCATATACAGTACACATTACTTACCTTAAAATATTTTTGTCCTTAGCTTATAGTGAGTAATGAATATATTCATTGTAGGAAGTCTGAATAAATGAAGAATGGGTATAATTGAAAACCACTGGATTATCAAGACACCATAAAGCAAAGCACTGTACAGCGGGGCCCTCCTGTACTCATTCATACAGTTGCATAAGCCTCCAGCTGTCTCTTCTACATATATTTTATTGCATCCTCCACATGGTAGGACGAATTCCAGTTTTAGTTTTAACTAGGCTTGTGGTAGTAGTGACTACTCTAAGACTGCACTTAGAAAAGGCACTAAATATTATTAACTACTTTACTGTTGGTGACATTACAAAATTTATAAGAGAACTGTCAATCTTGGAGGTGTTAATGATCTGCAGAACTCATTATTTATAGTCACTGATGAAATGAAAGGGAATGTGCAGTTTAGAGAAGGCCTGATGAATGTAGTTATATTGTTCCTTACACAATTCAACAATTTGGTTTTTGTTAAAGACCAAGTGGAATTGTGGAAATTCATTAGATTATCCTTAGTTTGTTTCTAGCCAACTTTGGAAGACAGATAACTGCTAAACCTGCATAGGAATACATCCTTTCCAGGTGTGAATTTATTAGAAGGCTCTACTGGGTTGAGTATGTGCTGAAAGTGGGTGATGCTGAATCTTCTAGATGCTATGAGGAGGATATCATTCACATACCACAGGTATGTTACACTGTTGGAAAGAAAGGGGACAAATTTTTTCCACCTCCAGATACTCCTCCATGTACATGTCAGCTAGTACTGCACTAATGGAAAACCTTACTGCTGTGCCAAGGTTTTGACTGTACAAAGTTACCATAAGAAAAACACTTAAAATTCATACAAGATCAATGAAATTACTGGCAGACAGAGAAAGATCGAGAATGTCATTAACGTTCCTACGAAGAGCTTCAATAACCTAGGCTGTAAGTATATTTGTAAATAAGGCTGCTAGTAATATTACTGGTGCCTTCTCTAAGTGAAATTTTAAGAGTAGTTACTGCTACAAGTACTACCATAAGAGACTTAGCCAACAAAAATCCTACAAGGCTGGTTAAAACCAAAGCTGGAGTTTGTTATATCAACTGGATAATGCAAGGCAATACATAAGGGAGAAAAACAGCCAGAGAATTACACACCTGTATCATTGAGCATAAATACATTTGCTGTACTATGTTAATAATACCTGTGTTACTCACAAGAACAGCCACGATCGAAGGATAAAATGTGCAGAATGTGCAGTCATATGTCTTAAAAGAACAGTTGAGAAAAACAAGGAAAGCTTCAATATGAAGCTCCTGATTTAAAGTAATCAGAACACAGCAGTCAGATGACATTAACCATTCTATGCTTCCCAATTACACTATACAATGATGTGTATACTATCCTCCCAACCTAGACTACATAATGATGTGTATACTATCCTTCCTGCCTGCACTACACAGTGATGTGCATACTACCCTCCCAACCTAGACTACACAATGATATGTATACTATCCTTCCTACCTACACTACACAATGATGTGCATACTATCCTCATAACCTAGACTACACAATGATATGTATACTCTCCTTCCCACCTGTATTACATAATGATGTGAATACTATCCTCCCAACCTAGACTACACGATGATGTGCATACTATCCTCCCAATCTAGACTACACAATGATGTGTGTATTATCCTTCCTACCTACACTACACAATGATGTG